GGCCGTGTATTTAGCTCTGAGTCCAAAGCGGATCAGTCGACTGCTAAAGGAAAAGGACTCACTGAAGCGATTATTGGAATTCAAGCGAACTTTGTTTTAACAACAAAAAATGCCAAAGGACAACAATGTTACGAAAAGCGTGACCGAGTAACTGCGGAAATAAAAAATCAGGAAGGCCATGACTGTGCAACAGAAGTGCGAGTGAAAGATAACCACGATGGTAGCTACAAAGTCAGCTATTTTGCCAAAGAAACCGGAAGATGCCAGGCAGTAGTCAAAGTGAATGAGGAAGAAGCTGGAGGCAGTCCTTTCTCGGTTGAAGTTTCACCAAGACAATTCAGACCCGTGTTATCTTTTGGACAACATGGCTCGTCTCCTGGAATGTTAAACAGACCCTGGGGAGTGGCAGTGAATGAACGTGATGAAATTGCAGTGACTGAGATGAGGAACCGCAGGGTTCAGGTATTTAGTAGTGATGGAACTTACTTAAGATCTTTTGGTAGTAAAGGTGATAAACAGGGTGAGTTCGACTGCCCTGCTGGGATAGCTTTTGATAAAAACAATAATATTATAGTGGTGGACGGCGCTAACCACCGTGTTCAATTGTTCAGTGAGCAGGGTGAGTACCTGAGCCAGTTTGGTGGTAAAGGAAATCTTGATCACCAACTGTTTTATCCTCATGGCGTATCTGTAGAGAACGATGGAAATATAATTATTGTTGATTCAGAGAACAAATTAATTAAGATGTTTTCTCCTAAAGGCCATTATTTAAATAAATTCGGGGGTGAGGGTTCTTTAACCTTTCCCCTTCACTGCATACAGTATGAAAAATATCTCATAGTGTCAGACAGAGGTGAACATTGTATCAAAGTGTTTGATGGGAATGGGAATTTTTTGTACAGATTTGGAAAGGAGGGGGAGGGGGATGGGGAGTTCAATAAACCTCAATTGTTATCAGTTAACAAGGCAGGACACCTGATGGTCTGTGACGTAGGTAATGACAGAGTTCAGGTATTTGATCTTAGTGGAAAGTTTATGACAAAATTTGGATCAAAAGGAGACAAAAAAGGAGAATTTAACGCTCCTGTCTCTGTTGCAGTGCTCAGCGATGGTCGAATACTTGTGTCTGACCTTGGTAACCATCGCATTCAGATATTCGAATAGACTAACATCTCATTACCTGTTTGCTGGATAATGTATGTATATCATAGGAAGAAGTTACAGGTTAATCACTTGTGGGAGTTAAAGAGTTACACTAAGTGTGATCTGTCACTCAGCCAAGTCAATAAGCTCTTTTAGGTCAATAATTACACAAGTTTTAAAACTTTTGTTTCATAGCAAGTCTAACACGAAAACAAAAATGCAAAATTCAGTTGTACCAGATCATTAATTATGTCTAGAGGTACAGCTTCAGGTAATGTTACATCTACGATAAAGCAATCGTACAGCCATAGGTATTTGCTCGATTGTTTTCACCATACTGAGCTGGGAACCTATTCCTGAGTTAAACCAGCAGAGTGAATAGACTATTCTTTGACATTTAATTTGGCAAAATTTTGTTATTGCATATATAAATATGCAATATAAAATTGTAAATAATCGAAATATAAAAATATGTCAATAAAATAGTTGTGATTGTTAGTAAACTTTGCTGCATACTAAGTCTTTGATAAAAACAAAAAAGAGTGATTCGAAACTTTTTGACTGATTTACGAGCAATTTACTAGGAGAGGTTGCACATCCACCCGCTAAATTAATCTCATTAGAAAACTCATTAATAATTCATGAGCTGATTAGCCTATCACACGAGGCAAATTGATTATGTGTATGAACCTTTATAGCTGGTATAGAATAATCATTCTGAAAATCCCGGACAGGGTTTTGATTTCGGTCTCGGGGAAAATCGGGGTACAATTCATAAACAACTAAATCATTAATGAATTATTAATGAAAATATGATTACTATGATCACTAGAGATCTTTCACGTTAATTTTAATACCAAATTATTCCCTAAAAGGCAGCATACAAAAACATTAACCGCAGTAAACAACAAAGTTTATTTCCCTGATAATTTCTTATTAGAACAGAAATTCGTTCTTTTACAATTTCCCATTGTTCACAAAATTAATTGTGCAGTTTTGAATACTCTCAACTTTAAAGTGCACTTAAACCCCAAATTTTTTTTTCGCTTAGCGAAATAAGCGTAGTTTTTGGAGTATTTCTGTGCAAACATTTTTTTAATTTGCTCAAATCTTCAATTGTCTGTGCCCAGTCAAAATACGGAAAATCGGCCGCCATCTTGCCCCACGGCCGGGTTTAAAGAGGAATGGCTCTAGCGGGTAATGTGACGTCAAATCGAGAACACGAAAGTCTGCATTNGCGGCCATGCCCTAACCTATGTTTCTTTTATATCTTCAAGTTCCGAAAGCATCACGTAGTTCGGGGTTACTGACTGCTCATTCGGAGAGCAGCTCCACAAAATACTGCAGCCGCAGCAGCAGTTCTCTGGGGGTAGTCTAGAGCATACACTTTGTGATCATGACCGTAGACACAGACGCGACTTGATTGCTCCTTCCACTGGTAGGCAACTTCAGACAGGGGCAATGCTCGCAGCTGTTGGCGCTGAAAACAAAGATATGTCCATAGCTAATTAGTGGGGCGCGCATGTTGGGACGCTAAGAAAAGTTTTACAAACCACACAGAGTGGACGGCAGCAAGAATCTTTCCTTTTAATAAGTTACTACTGTTATTACTGTTGTAAGCGTATTCCACGTGTATTTGCGATTTATTTTGCTGAGATGTGTTACTATTTGTTAACCCAAAGATGGCGGATTAGAGTTAATGATGTGACCTGATGTTCGTTCTCTTTTAATGGATTGGACATTTACTTTGATATTACATGAGCTCTGAAATGAGAAACCTGTAACCCGGATGAAAAAGCACATGTTTTGGAGTAGAGAAGAAGGTCTTTTTTTGGCTTTGTAAAAAAACTGGCAGAGTTTCGGAATAAATTGTGGTAAACAATTTACAAATGATGTCGATTTGAAGTCTCGGCAACACCTGATTTGATAAATTTTCTGATTAAAGATCTATCTACCTACACAAGAATGCTCTTGGCCGGCCACTTGGTGCTGTGTTTGTCTACCAGCCTCTTCGAGCCCATGTTTACTTGCTGGTGAAAAAAGGTCTTGATGGGCCACACCTTAATGAGAATCACATGGGTGTAGTTTAATAAGAACGAGAAGGCGAAAGAGATAAAGTCATGAGTAATCCAGGATCGTATTAATTTTGCTTTACTCTTCTCTGTGATTGGTACAAAAAAAAACCTCGCACTACTAAACCAATCGGATGCAAAACTAAAACCAGTCACGACCTGTTCGTCTGCATTTTCCCGCGCTTTAGGCGGTTTGCCTGTTTTTACTTTGATTTCTCGTTGGCTCATGATTCAGGTAGTTTTCTCGTTCTTCAATCTCCCCAAACCTCTTTCTCCATTTCCCTTTTGCTAACTTTGTTATGCATTTACAAATCTGGTCACTTGCGTTTTCCCGCGCTTTAGACAAATTTGTTGTTTTTATCTTAGGTTGTTATTGGCTGATTGTGATATTTCCTTCAATCTGATTGGCTGCTATGATTACTTTGCTTTTGGTTTGATAACTCAATCGAATAGCGCGCTATGTTTATGTCGGACGGAGTGTCTATTGGTAAGAAAAGAAAAAAACTCACCCCTGGTAGTTGTTGCTTAAATATTTCAGTTCCTTACGAATAAACGATGAGTTTAGCGGGTAATTAATCTGATTTTTCGACGAATCAAATTCCAGATCTTCGGATTTCAAAAGGAATGGAGTCCCAAACCTTTGCATTTCACAAGGTCTTCCTGATCTTCGGGTTTCGAGCTCGGATGGTCACCGGAACGCAAACCCTAGGAATTTCGAAATCTAAACTCTAGATTTCGAGTCCTTGTGCGGGGACTCGGATGTTTTTGGTTTCCTCCACGTTCGTGACCAAATCAATGGCTTCGTTCGGCTTCATTAGAAAGAATATGATTCAAAAGATTTTAGCATCGCATGTCAAAGTACTCTTCCACGTCCACAACACTTGTCACAGCGCTTGTATCCCACAGCCATACAATCATGACACGGCTGGGAATAAAAGTGAGATGAAACAACATGAAAAGAAGAATAAGAAGAATAATGTCATGGTTAGAAGCCTCTCTTACATTGACCCTGGG